CCCCAAAACCCCAAAACCCCAAAACCCCAAAACCCCAAAACCCCTTTTTAATAATTTATTATAGAAATATTTAATGAGGTTAGGAATTATAGAGAAGAACTTTATAAACCAAAATATTAATGCTTCACAAGATAAAGGCTCGACCAACATGCAAAAGTCTAAAGGTCTACACGATATCAACACAAAAAGAGACAGCAGTTCTGCTTTTGATATTTTAAGTTTCAAAAAGAATGCAGTAAAGTAATTACTTATACCTACAATCAAATTATTGCTCTATTTCTTAGTTTCTTTCAAGCCATTTTTCATATCTGATTCTAGACAGACTGACCAGTCCCACTCAGTAAAGAAAGAAAGTAAAATCAAGGATTATGATGAAGAAGAGTTGAAATAAAAAGGTTTTAGAAGACATTAAGAACAAATATGACTATATCAATACTCATGAGGATAATGACTCTGATGAAGACCTTGACGAACTCTTTAATGATATCATGCACACTCAGAATGACCAAGATCAGAACGATTCTTTGAAAACTGAGGAATATAAAGGTACATATATGGCTTATTTTATAGATATTTTGGAAACTAACCTCCAAGGTGAGGTAAGAAAGGAATCTAGAACAATTGATGACAGTAAATAACTTGCTCAGTGATGTGTAGAATATAACAAATTGTGGGAAAATATTGAAGAAATTGAAGATCAGATTGGAACAGATATTTACATTGGAGGCAACAATGGTAAACCTTAAAATTAAGTATATAGAATTTAGTCAAAAACCCTCACATAAGATTAATAATGAAGCTACGTGTCTGGAAAAGCTAAAAGAAGTACTTGCTGTGAATAAGAAAAATCAACCGTCTTATACTGAAATGAAAAATAGATTAATATTTGACAGCTACAAGCCTATGAGACTCATAACTGTCAAGGATCCTAAAAAGGAAACAAAGCATCTTGTTGATTTGAAGAAGCTAGATAAAATTAATATTCTTCAAAAGGAAGCTACACTGTAGGTATTTTTAACGAACTCTGTAGACTGAAGATGAACGCGAAGAAGAACTGATCAAGAAAAGGCACTTATCAAGGCATCAGGTTTCTAGAGTATTCTAAGGAAGATATAATACAAATTTGATGACCATACTCATCATATAAAGTCTTTGGGTTTGTAACCAAAGAGTCATATGATCTTAAAGACTCTCCGAAAATCAAATGAGGGTTAGTAGAGCTTTCGAATCTTGATAAAGAATGAATTTCGATGTTCCCTAAAGGAAGAAGAATATTTCCAGAGAGGCTATGGAGATTAATATCGAATACCACTTATGCAGAGTCAGATGATAAATTACTTAATACAGAAGAAGATATATTAGAGCTTGAATTCGAACATGAAAATAGTCAAAAACAGGTTATACAAATAGCCTACTGAATTAAAGACTTTAATTTTCAGAATTTTCAAAATCCTTTAGAATTCGATGGCTTTGACTACTATAATTGGGAAATATCATCTAATAAAGTGCAAGTCCCTTTTCTTAGCGTAGGATTTAATGACATAATAATCACAACCAGAGTGCCTGATGAAAATGGATGGCTTGAAGGATACAAAGCAAGTGATCCGGAAATGAACATTAAATTAATCCATCAGGAATGTATAGATTTTTTGAAAATCTAAATAGTTCCAGAGCTTTTAGGATGAGCTTTCACAACTCTTGAATGAAAAGACCCTAATGTAATGAGCAATTCTTAAAAGTTTAAATACAGATAACATTCAATATATTTTTTCTAAATGGGGTTTTGGGGTTTTGGGGTTTTGGGGTTTTGGGG